GATCTGTATATAGTAGTACTTCGATTCATATATATATATATATAGTACTCGTACTACTAATAGTACTAGTAGTACTATATAGTTTTCGGTCGATATATATATATATAGTTTTGGGTCCCGGGGACTCACGATTGGATCCCCTGTACTGTTCCTACGGTGCTCGCAGGTGGTAAAGTAGTAGTTGTCCCATTTGCTGGTGGCTAAATGTTGTTTTAGAGACTGTTGCTGTTGGTGTTGACATTGCTGCTATACTTTGTGTTACTGCTCCTCAACTTCTGGGAGAGGAACTGGCAGTATATCTTGTAGGTGACAAACTTATCCAACAAGGTGTCAGTTGGTACATCATGCCTGTCATAGCCATCAGAGCCAAAACTGTCCATAATTATTATTGTTGTTGTTTTTTTAAAATGCTGCTGAAATGACTGATCACAGCAAAAATGACTGAATTTCAAATTTCAATTCATTTGAGGGCAACTAGTACTAGTACATAGATTGTTAAGTTTATTATTTTTTTCTTCCTCTGGAAGTCCAGCCAGAGCAGTGAGAATTCTTCAAGATCAGTGGCCCCATTGCACCTGTAGCCAAATATTTTGTACCAGTGGTACTTTGAGGAAACAACAAAAACCACATCTCAAAGAGTGCACGAGTATGTAGGATATATAATAGTAGTACTAGACATAGTAGGTACAATGGGATACCAGTACTAGTTGTTGCAATTCCACTGACAATAACCATGATCAGATTGTTAAGGAAGAAAAAATTCTCTGAAAACTTCATCATCCCTGCTGATCAATGAAAAAATTAGTACCCTACTAGTACTAATCTTTGTCTGATCCATCCTCTTTCTTGCTAGTACTACTAATGGTCAGTACTACTAGTAGTAGCGCATTTTCCACACCAAAAATGGGTTTATTTTTAAAGTTATTTTGTCACTGCTCCTCTCCAGTCATTAGACCAGCAGCAGTAGAAAGAGATGAAAATCTGATGGGCAGAACAGAGTTCCTGTCATTTGAAAACCTTGATCATACTAGTACCCAGTCAATGTTTCAAAACTGTGTCACCAAATGTCCCTGCTGCTCACACAGCAATTCATACATGCTGTATCAACCCAGCAAACATGTTAGTGCAGCATAGTAATGATAGTCACCTCATCACCAGTAGTACAAAAAGTACTACCACTAGTACTATTGCACCATACTACTACTACTACTACTACTACTACTACTACTACTACTTCTGAAATCAAAAAGAGATGACCTCCTCACTCCTCCTCCTAGTATTATGCTTTAAAACACCACCACCAGCATCAAATTAGGTTTTGGAGCTAGTAGTACTGCTTCTAGTACTATCAAATGAGAATGAGTCAATTGGGTACTAGTCCTAGCAACAACAAGAAGGAATGGCTGGCCATTGCTTGGGTGCTATTGCTGCTGGTGGGGTTGACGACAGACACTGCTGATGCACCATCATAGTAGTACTACTATTGACTACTACTAGTACCACAATTGGTATATTCAACAAACTGCACAAATTGTAAGCAGCAAGAACTTTAAACTCAAGCAATTTTTAAGATCCAGAGTACTATGATCAATCAATTTTAAGTATGATCATGCATGATAGCGGTATGAAAGTATGGTACGTAGCATAAGAACTGTACTTTTCCTTGGTTGCGGTTCTCGTCTGTCCGTCATTCTGTTCTTACTACATCTCGTAGGATTGTACTTTCTCAGTACATTCATATTGTACGCACCTCCCTCGTTCCGGAGGTACAAGCACATACGGGTACCACCGTACGGTACGGTAATAACGGTAATTAAGTTGAGGCGTCGAAGTTGGTTTGACATCTGGTTGTCCCGGTTTTGCCTTCTCCAATAAAAGAATTTCAATTCTTTTCGAACTTTTTTGAAAGTTCTAACTCAATTCGGACGTCAATTCACTTATAGCCTTTTTTAGATATGAATTATGATTGGTAGATTGAGTTCTTCTTTCATGACGAAACATGATTGAATCATCCCTTTCAGAGCATTTTTCTAGGTGCCGATAACTTCATCGCTTGACACCCTTCCATCGATCGGTTGACTTTTCGATCGGCGAAAGAATTGTCCCCATTATCAACAACAACACGAGGTATGTTGCCGCTACTTCACCAATACAGTAGCTAGGGACCTTCTCAAGAACTCAAACTATCGAATTCAACTAGTAAGCAACCACCGACATCCACATCCATTTACTCTCGCAGTTATAACCGAGCGCACACATAGTCCTCGGTCGAAAACGAACCAACCTTCCTTCTAAGGACAACTTTTCTGCCAAGAGGTGGTGCCAATAAGTTCCGGTAGCATTACGTCATGTCCAAGCACCTGGCGACTTTTCTCCTGTTAGCAGTGACTGCGATTGAAACCATAGCATTTGTCATCCCAACAGTTCACTCATCCGGGGTATTGAAAAACAATGGTATCCTTCCTTCGCCATCGAAGCCCTCCACCTATCTGACACTCTCGTCGTCACCAAACAACAATAGCGGAAAAGATGGCTTTCTCAAGGCACGAACCGATATTCGGTACTTTTTGACCCAACGATCTTTACAGTCTTTTGTTTTTCTTCTGAATCAATGTCGTGAAGAACATAGCGTACGGTGGCTAGAGGTATGTTGCGAAATAAGATGACGCAGGCTCAAATCGCTTATTGGAAGGCTGCATCAGTCACTGTTATTCTGTGATGATAGCACAAAAGTTAATCCATTTCATTTGCTTTCTCGTTTTTGCTTGCCATTTCACACTGGACGCTACGTATGTTACTAGAAAACATTGGACTTCACCAGTATTGATAATTTTCACGGAACGGGAGCGTTCAACCAAACCAAATTTCCCGAATGGGACTCCGTCTTTCTGGATTGTGTCGACCGACCCGAGGAAATCATGGTGATACAAATGCGATCACGCCGCCGGCAAAATCGTCTCTCTGGATACAATGCCTACTTTGAAAGCCTGAAACAACCACAAACCGGTACAGATCAGAAACCTGTGGGTAGTGATTCGGATTCGGAGAAATCTTCCGCTACGGAAGGAGTAGAAGGAACGAAAGGAAAATCGAAGGGCTTCTCGGTGGGTAATTACCTGGACAGCATGACCGCGCCTATGTCAACGCCTCCTTCTCAGGAAGCTAAGAAATCATGGCGGCCCTCCAAGAAAACCAGTCGACGCCTTTCCGACGCAAGCAGCTACTTAGAAGCTCTTTCGTCATCACCACCTGCACTGTCCTCTAAAGATGATACAACTGAATGCTTTCGAAAGGATAGCGAAAAGAAATCAGCCAAGGACGGCCCGGGGAAGAGCACAAGTTATTTGGAGAAATTGTCGTCGGCCGCAAAATCACCAACATCGCCTATCTCTTCTGATGACGAGAAGAACGAAAAAACAGAACAAAGCACCGAAACATCAAAGAATCCATATTTGGAAGAGGTGCGTGATAGCTAGCAAGTGTGTGTGTGCTTCGCTTGCATCGAATAGATATCCTGGCGGGTGTGTGATAATACTGAACGTCACCCTTTGTTCCTTTCTAACTTGATTCTTGATGTAAATGTCCGTGTTCCTGGCTTGCCGATAAACACGTTGGTTTTTTAAATGGAATCAGACTATTACGGAGTACGAGCTGTGCGTGGATCCTCCAGCCATGGTCCGTCGAATCCTCTCGGTCCGAGAACAAATTTCCAAAGAATGGGCCGAGGATTTGGACCAGCTCGCGAGATTAAACGATGAAATTGTAGAATATCTCGAGGAACACAACAGAGCTGTTGCGAAGGAGGATGAAGAAGAGGATGATGATGAGGACGAGCCAGAGGAAACCAATGAGGGCCAAGCTGAAAAAGACCAGGAAAATATCGGGAACGACGAAGATTCGAGTGATATGGATCAATTACTCAAGACACTGCTTGCATCGGCAAACAAAGAAACTGTGCCCGACGTTACGTCTGCCCAGTCGAAAAGCGACGTGAACGAAAAAATCGACAAAGATGAGGCAGAATGCAAGACGGCATTTGGACGCAACATTTTGACTGCGTGGACGCAACATTTATGGAGCCCGAATCGAAGCTCGTCTCCATTTCGGAAAGCTAATTTTGATCTGCTGTTGCTCTTGGCGACCCAGGAAAGTATTCATCGTGTTCTAAAGTCCTACAAAGAAGACGAAGATGTTCGGCCAGAAACACACGAATGGCTTTTGGAGTATTATAAAGACAACGTGAACGATTATTTCGATGGCCACCAAAGCTATTTCCGCAGTGAGGATTTTCTTGAGGAAATGATCAAGTTGCCTCGCACCTTGATCGAGACTAATAACGAGTTTATAGCTTGGGTCGATCCGGCTATTGTGGTGGAAGGTGAGTAGCGGCTGTCGATCTGGGGTTTGATGTTGGTCGACATCTGACTTGAAAGAATTTCTATTTTTGTAAATGACGTTGCTCCTCGCAATATAGATATTGTCCGAGAACGATCCGAAGTGACTCTGGATTGGATGAGAATAGCAGAAACCATTTCGGAGGAACATACAGACTTGCGACGCATGCTATTTTCGAATATGGTATCCAAGCCAGATCCCGATGAGACGTTGGCCGATGTGATTGTCACTGCTGTGGACATCTCAAATATTACTGCATCAGAGAGCTCCTCTGAAGTCTTTGGCGCATTCGAGTAAACTTTCGATCTTATTTTGACGGATCCTTGAATAAAGTCACATTAGTGGCTACGTAAGTCATTTCAGGATTCATTCCCGCCGAGGCCATCTGGTACGAAGCCTAACGAATAGTAGACGCTGCTGTTCGTAGCGCTTCCTTTGCATGCACACAGCAAGTCGATGCAAAATTTGGTCCAGAACTGTTCTTGAGACTATTCAAATCGTCATCACTCGTCAAACGCTAGCTTCTTGTCTAGTGCACAAAGCGATTGATTGAAAAATTTCATCACTTTGCTTTCTAGCTCTCACCCATTCGCACCAAAAATTGACAACCAGTCAATTACTCATTCACTCGGCCTTTCAGCTTTTTCCCCATGCACATAACGATTGAAAAGTAACAAAGAGTAGTGACTGACCACTGCCACCAACCATTCACAAATTATCCCACTTGCACCCACACCATCCATGGCGTGTGATATCGCCATACCCACTCGCTAACACCCAACCCAATAACGAACTTATCTATAATTTTGAATATGCCACGAGTTCCTCGTTTTCAGGACCCAGTCATCTACTTGTTTGTACTACTTGTTTTCTTTGCATTAACGTGTTTATCTATTTCTTTCTTGTTATGATGGAAAGATCTCTCGGATGACTCGGTTTGTTCCAGAACTATCATAGTCATCAAGGACGAGTCGGCGAATGTTAGCTGGAATTTATTGGGAAAACACATTTTACTTCACCGCGAATTCGAATTAACGCCGTACGGTAGCGTTTTGTTCAAGACGGAATGCATTTCACCGTATTGAAAAAGACGTACTAAAATATGTGTCACAAGCAATTGGCTAGAGTATCTTGACCAAGGTAGACTGGTTTCTACCATGCTTTTTGGGACAATCCTTTCCTTCCGAACAATACTGTACTAGCATCGCTACCGATGAATATTACGTCGACAATGCTGATTCATTATCTTAGCAGTTTCTAGTACCGATCTGGGGTGCACGTAGCATATTTTTTGTCGAAAAGGAAGAAATATGCATATGCGGGCGGTCAGATATTATGATCTCCGATGGATACATTACTGCACTCTCGCCCTTCATAATATTGAAAACTTACATCGTATTCGTTCCCAAAAGTCGCACGTGCAATCGCGTTCCAACAGGCGTCCTTCGGGAGGCCATTGCAGCTCGATGAATTGCGGGAAAAAATCATCTTCCCAGTATCCGTGGGTGCTACTGCTGCCACTGCTCCCAAAAACACCGCCTAGAAGCTTGTCGTATTCGCCACTCAACCCTCTTCCCAGGACCCCCATATCTTGTGCCATGCGCTGAATTTGTTGGATCATGACGTAGTGATCGTTGCCCCCCCCATTTCCTTCGGAAGAAGCATATCCACCCAGTGTGCTGTTCCACCGTGTCAAATACGTTCTAAGCGCCCCCAACGCATTCTCCCCGTTGATGCCACCCGATGTATGTTTGTTGCGTATCAACTCGGTTCTCAAAGAATCCTCTTCGACTACTTCCATGCTCAAGACCTCCAGGGCTCGTTTCCTGAACGCGTCTTCCACGTTTCTTTCGAGTTCTTCTCCTTCGTAGCTCAGACCATCGTTTTCCTCCAAGTCTTGCAAGACCTTCTCCTCGACGTCTCTCCAGATATTGTAGATTTCTCTTCCGTTCTCTCCCCACGGAATACTTTCGTCCGCGGATTGATCTTTGACGCTCGGAACCTGGTCGAGGTCCACGGAGTGGGGTATGAAACGCCAGGGAATCCATTCCACGCTGCTTTCGTCGTGGTTGGGATTGCCGGTCCTCGAGAATGCAACCCATCGCCGAGCCATATCGTGTGCGGTTTCTTCGTCGGAATCTTCTAAGAAGTAGTCGTCAAAGAAATGCCGTAGGATCCGTTGAAAATAGGAGGTATAGTTCGAAAGCTGGTTGGACAACGTAGACGAGGAAGTCGAAGTCCACGAGCTGCTGTCGTCATCTTCTTTTCCAGTATCGTCGTGATTTTCTTCGAAGTCCACGTCGTCGTCTTCGACGACGCCCTTGTAGGCCGACATGAGGTCGGTATAGGGATACTCCGGTGGTGTGGGGGCTTCTTCCTGCGCTACCGTGCCGAGTGTGCTATAGTCGCTGCGAATGATGTCCATGGATTCGAAGACGTACGGAAGTTCTGCCGTGTGGCAGGACTTGCCCCAGCATTCCTTGTAGCCGGGCACGTGCGTGGGCTGCGAAAAGCGATACACGTAGACGTTGTTTCGGTGGTCCCGGTGGCCGCCCTTCTTTCGCCGGGTCGAGCTCTTCTTGACGCGCTGCAGGCTCAGCAGGTGTGCATAGTGCCAGCTCGGGCACCGGAAGAGGTAATCGTTGATGATGCGGCTCATCACGGGCCGGTAATCGATCGAAACCTTCGCTGCCTTTTTCAGGGCTTTTTCTTTCGCTTTCTTTTTGAGAATTTCGAGACGTTGCCGTCGGCGGGACTCGATCTCTTCTGGATCTCTCGGCGAAAACACTTTTTGCCACCAGCTGGAAGCGGTTTCGGTTTCCCCGTGTGTCTCGTTTCGGTTTCCGTTGCTTTGGCCTCCCCCCCTCGTTGCCGCGGTGGTCTTCAGAAGCTCTAGGTATTCGTTCTCTAGTTCTTCCTTGTTTTCCATCCAGTACTGTTTGTGTTCTTCCTCGGAGACCTGTTTTTCTACCAGGACGGCGGCGTCGGCTTCGAGTTGTGCCACGTAGGGCCGGTAGTGTTTCAGCACCCGGGGGGCCGAATCCTTGAACAGGGCACCCACAAACATCCAATACACGGCCTTGCTCATGGTCAGCGGGAACGCGCCGTGCACGAATATCTCTCCCTCGTGCTTGTTGGTCCCGATGATGATGGGGATGTCGTCCGGCACCAGGTTCAGGTTGTGCAGGGGCTGCGTCACGTTGACCGTGAACCTGGTGGTCGATTCGCGGCGGTAACCGGATCGGCTCCGGGCGCTGATCTGCTGGTCGATGGAAAAGAGGGACCGGTCCCGCTCCCATTGCCGGGCCTGGGACGGGGACGAAAACGAGGACGGGGACGAAAACGCTGTTGCGCCGGTGGTCAGGGTCGGCCCCCAGGCAAAAAAGTCGCCGACGCTCCGGGGGATCCCCATCAGGCTCGATTGGGCCCGCATGATTTCCTCGACGGCCTCGGTCCTCATGCACTCCAGGTCGCGGCAGTCCACGGTCCGCCGCAGGGCGTCGCCCAAAAAGTCCGCCACGACCACGCTCCGGAACTGGTAGCCCATGGGATTGGATTGCAGGATGGCCTTGTGGAACAATCCGTTGTTTTCCATCTGCAGGTGCAGGCCGATCATCACGGCCCCGGCCGACTCCCCAAAGAGGGTGATGTTGTCGGGATCCCCGCCAAAGCTCTCGATCCGCCGCTTGACAAAGTGCAGGGCGGCGCGCTGGTCCATGAGCCCGTAGTTTCCGTACAGCCCGAGCTCGCTGCTGACCATAAAGCCGAGGGCACCGAGCCGGTAGTTGACGGTGACCACCAGGACGCGTTCTTCCTGGGCCAGCCGGCGGGCGTTGTATTCCGGCCTGGCGGCGCTTCCCTGCTGGAAGGCCCCGCCGTGCAGCCACACCATCACGGGGAGGAGCTGTGAGGACGACGAGGCGTCCGAGGCGGCGGAGGCTCCCGCCGGTGTAAAAATGTTCAGGTAGAGGCAATCCTCCGACATGGTGTCTGGGTTGGCCAGCGGGTTGAGTATGGGATCGACGATCTGGTAGCAATCCGTCCCGTACTCGGAGGCGTCCAGGATCTGTGGTGCCCACTTGGGGGGTTCCTGGGGCGGTGCCCAGCGCCGGTTCCCCACCGGAGGGGCCGCAAAGGGGATCCCGCCAAAGAAATCGACCCCGAGGTTGTGGCTCCGGACTCCCTGGACGACGCCCAGACCCGTTAGGGATACGCGGACGGGGATCGACGAGTCGCTAATGTCGAAGGGTTTGTTGACGTAGGTGGATTCCTGGCTCTGGTTCTGGTACTTGGCGTACACCGATTGGTGCTGCTGGTAGAGGTGCTGCTGCTGCGCGTGTGCCGTGGGAACGGGGGCCGCAAGCATTTCCGCAACGACCACCACCAGCGCCAACAGGAGGAGCGCCGGCGGTGGCACGGCGGCCCCCCCGGCCCCCCGCGTTTTCGTATTCGTTTTCGTTTTCTTTCGTTCCCGCCGCTTCCGCTTGACCGCCTCGGCGATTTCCATGAGTTCCCGGTCCGTCCGGCCCGGGTTGACCAGCTCGTTGATCCTCTGCATCTGCCTCCGTTTTTCGTCGTGGGTCAGGTGCCGGACCTCGATGCCGCGCTTCGAGCACGTCTCGCGGATGATCGGCGGCGCGGCCTGCCGCGTGACGATCCGCCGGATCCCAAAGGTGACCAGGGCCGCGAAGCACCTTTTGCAGGGCGGGATGGTGATGTAGGCCGTGCAGCCCTTTGTGGATCGCTCGGACAAGCAGGCCTCCCCGAGGGCGTTGATTTCGGCGTGGATGTCGCTCGTGCACTCGTTGTTGTCGAAGAGGGGAGTGTTGGTCCCGGCCCCCAGGATGTTCCGGAAAAAGCGGTGCTCGTCGAAGGCCGGTTTCGAAGGGCTGGTCGCTTCTGCCTTGGCAGGGGTTGCGGTTGCGGCTGCATCCGTTTCCTCGCTGTCGTTGTTGCTGTCGTTGTTGTTGCTGTCGTTGTTGTTGCTGTCGTTGTTGTCATCATTGCTGCTGCTGCTGCTGCCCTTTGGGGATTGGGGACAAACCCTACAAACATTCGGAGCAGCGGCGGGACCCTTGGTTTTGTCGCTTGGTCGAACCACCAGGGCTCCCATGTGCCCCTGTCGCCCGTCTTTCTGCCGGCTCCGGGTGATCAAGAAGACAATGTCGAGGTACAATTCGTCCTCGGTCAGTTCCGCGTCCGGTTTCCATCCGTACAAATCGAACCGGTGTGCCGGAGAAACGATGGTCCGTGGAGAAGAAGCAGAACCAGAAGCAGAAGACGACAACGACGACGAGGCGGTCGGTTCGAGCGCCAGCCGCCGCACTGCTTCGACCGGGACGCAAGACCCCGTGGCGTCTTTGTCGGCATCCATGCCGTCGTCGCCGGTCGGTTCCCTTGCTGGTTTCGTTTTGCTATTGGCACCGGCAAGACACGGCGCCGGTGCAGCACTGGCGGTGGGATTCGTCGCCATGGGCCTTGTGGATTTGTTATCGGAGTCGTAGTGCCCTGTCGGACTCGCTAGACGGTCGGGGGTGCTTCCGGTGTCGCCCCTGCTGCCATGGTCCGGGCACAGCACGAATGACGAGAGCGTTTGTCTCGGCCGCGGGGGATTGCCGCCTTTGGCCCGTGGCATCGTAGTCTGTGCTGCACTGCACTGCACTGCACTGCACTGCACTGCACTGCACTGCACTGCACTGTACGAACCATAGTGGCCGTGTCGTACGAGGTTTCCTACAGAACCCACCCGTACGGTACTCGTACGTAGTGCGTAGTCGCAGTCCAAACCATCACCAATCGAATCGCAAAATGATGAAGGACATGTTCCATGTGCGCACCATGTTCCCCGAGTTGAGTTTTGAAACGGGACTGACTTTCCTTCCACTCGACCAAAAAGTCTCAAAGATCCTCAAGGCACCACCGTGCGCATCCACCTCTGTCTGTCTGTCTACCGTTTTTGAAGTCCACGACTGCCGCGCGCCCCAATACCAGTATTCCGGAACGAAATTTTTGGCTCGATTGGATAGATACACTGAAAAACGAGAACGTCTCGAAACCGCGGTACGTTACTGTGCGTACGGTTGGTTGAAGCGTTGCGTACGAGTACTCGTAGTCGTACCGTACGTAGTCACCCTACCAGGGTGTACGCTCTCGGACGGCCCGCTAATATAATGTGGTTCCGGAGTGTGACACACCAGTCAGTCTCAAATTTGATCTGTGTCGCCTCTCTAGGTTCGGATTCCTGGCCGCGAAGTTCTTTGACGTGTCCCAAAAATTCGAGTTTTGCCACAAATTTTGGCAGCATCGAACCGAAGCAACGGAAAGAGGATTTGTTTCCACTATCCACAGAGGGGTTTCGCGTGTTCTCCCCACCCGGAGCAAAGAACCCTCCGCATCGAAAAGAGCAAGGAAAGCGGGAGGAGACGAGGGACGGCAAAGTCTTCAAAGCTACCACTGGTTGGTGATCGACCAAGCGTTCCGCCAGCCCGGCTAGGCCAAAGCGAGCAAGAGGAAGGACCGGGAAGAAACAGAAGCAGGGCTCTTTTCTTCTCCCGGTTGACGCCGTCGGTGCACAAAGGGGGGTCGGAAGGCAGATACATTGTCCACGATGGACGGCAATCGTCCCTTCGATTCGGCCTCCGATCGCCAAGAGGGCAAGTGGATGCAATACCTCCGGCAGGACTTTCTTCTACCGAACCACACCGGCGAGAACCACACCGGCGACGATGGCGAGGGAGACGACGACAGCAACAGCACCCGTTTCTTTGTCAGCGAGGCGTCCACGAGCGAGGCGGATTCCCTCGACAACCTCATGCGGCTCGGTGGGGTAGACGAAAACCTCTTGCTGCTGGACCACCCGTCGAGCGAGGAGGAAGTCGTTTTTCTCCACCCGCGGGACGGCGGGGACGGGGACGGACCGGAGCCGGAGGACGGGAACGGATCGATCTCCCTGGAACACTCCCCGGAGACCACGACCGGGGCCCTTCCGTCGTGGGCGCCCGCAAAGCTGCTTGGGACCCCCCCGCCGAAGACGCTGCCCCCGGCCACCGGTTCCGGGGCGGAAGGGGAGGGCACCCCCGATGCGCCTCCCCCGCTCCCCCATGGATCGGTCCAGGCCTCCGCGGCGACGAAGGAACACCAGCACCCTTCCTTCACGCAAAGCAATCCGCGGGGAGACCGGCCGCTGCCCCCCTCCGCGGCCTATTCGCCCGACAACATGAGCCTGTCCACCTTCGACACGAGCTCTCCGAACCGGTGGAACAACAAGGTGGAACTGGACCTGTCGCTCATCCAGGCCACCAGCGAGAACAGAAGCAAACGAACCGGTCCGAGAGGGGGAGCACGGAACGAAGGCATCGGAAACGACCCTGCTGTTCCGGCAAAACCCGCCGAGTCGAGCCACGCCACAAACCATCGCCGCAACGTATCGATCGTGGGAATGAGCACGGTGGAAGGCAACTACCGCACCCAGGCCCGCGAGAAACGCGGCACCGCATCGGCCAGCGCTGCCGACGACCATTCCTCGAATTCTTCCCTGTCGGCGTCGGAAGGACAGGTTCGGCAGCTGGGAGTTTTTTTGGACAACCTGAGACTCAGCAGCGAGGGGCAGATGAAGGAATCCACCGTCCCGGGATCCAACACCTCCTTTGAATCCTCGGTGCTCGTGCACGGGCAAACCGAGGTCGAGGACGTCCTGAGGAGAAAGACCGACGCACAATCCCGGGCCAGGCGCGACGCGCGTCAACCGCAGCAAGCACCGGTGCTGTCGAGCCGGGATTCGTCGGGATCGCGGCCCCTCTTTATGGAATACTCGAACGATTCGTTTTTGAACACGCGGGGACCGACCGGCAGCCTTCTCATGACCTTTTCCCAGGACAGCGCGGATTACATCCAGCAGCAGCAGCAACAACAACAACAACAACAGAGCCCGGCGGGCAATCGAATGGACGCGACGAAATCTCCGAGGTTGTCGCCTGGTCCACCCCACCACCTGCCTCCGCTCTACTCGACAGCCACGCCTTCTAGCATTTCCAGCGGGTACAAACAGCAAGCAAACAGGCAGCGACGGTGGACCGGAGATGGATCGGAATCCAAGCCGTACAACCAAGGTGCACCCGGTGCGAGTGGCAGCAGGAACTATACAAAGTCCACCATTGATCAGAGCAGCAGCGACGAACGGGCCAAGCAACAACAAGAAATAGGGCTGTTTTCGCAGTTTGCCACGGGAACCAACGACAACGACGGTGCCACCCTGCAATCTCGTCGAAAGAAGCAAGTCAGCTACCGGCAACTGAGAAAACAACACATCCGGCAAGAGTCTGGAGAAGATTCTTCCTCCCAGGCGCTGCCGGATCCATCGCACTCCAATTTCTTCCAGCCCCCGCTCGCGCCATCCCTGTCGCAGCAATCCCTATCGCAACATTCGACGGACGTGAGCTACGACTCCGAAGCCACATCGACCACCCAGAATTCTGCTCCCTTGCCCCGGGGTCCGATCCACGGACAGGAGCAAGGCCTACCCGCTGCTGCGGGGGCTTCCCACCAGCAGCATCCTTCCGGCATGCTCTGGCTACGAAACCGATCGCAGAAAAAGACGGGCTCGCCCAGCCCGGGCAGGCCGGGCCAGGCCGGTCCGGTTCCTCTCTCTGCCTCGGGGCACTATGCGGCTTCCTTTGACGAATACCAGATGCCCAGGCCACACCACCAGCACCATCCGCCACCCCCGTCGCTCCACGCCATGCCGCTGCACACTGCGCCGCCGATCCCTTGGAACAACACCATGTACCAACAACCAACGGCGTACTACGCTCCCGGAAACACCCACCGGCGCGTGTACAGCGAGGTCCCGATGCTGCTGGACCCGCGCTTTCAGCACGACCCGTACCACCTCCATCACCACCAACAATACGGCCACACCCGAAACCGTTCCGTAGCAAGCCCGCAGTACGAGCAGTCTCCCGTCGTCGGCGCCGACGGCACTTTCAGCGAGCCCTACCAGGTGTTTTATGGATCGGCTGCTCCCGACGTGGAGTCGCACGCCGTGCCCAATCCGCAATTTTTCGTGGACAACCTCAAGCCGCCGAATCGCAACCACAGCCAGAGCTACGATTCTCTGTTGCACAGGGCCAGCAGCGGTGAGCTAAGCTCGAAGGAAGTAGCACAAGGGGGGCAGGAGCAGGACGATCAAGACCTAGAGCGCAGAAATTCCAACGTGGTAGAAGACTGCTCTTCGTACTCGGTCTCGAGCCACACGAGCGACGATTCCATCGAAAACGAACGAAACATTCACCACTTGCACGACAATTCGTGCCACGACAATCGGGTGATTCGACACCATCACCTCGATAACCCGCAAGCAAAATTCGACAGGCGTCAGTTCCTTCCAAAAACCTCGAGCATTTACGGCAACATCGGCGGCGAGAGCAAGTGTCCGACCTTTGTTTGTCCCAATTGCAACACACGCCAGAGACAATTCTTCACGGTATCGAGCGCTCCCAAAAACAACGAGAGCGCTGGGTTGTTCATTTCTCTGGGTTTTGCGACGTACGTTTTTGCGTCGCTCTATATTTTTGGGCTGCAGGAAGGATGGGGAAAGCTCGATTGCATTTATTTTGCGGTGATCACTCTTACCACCGCTGGACTGGGAGATCTCGTGCCGACTTCGAACGGGGCAAAGATCATTTGCAGCATCTATATCTACTTTGGCGTCGCGTTCATTGGTTTGTTGCTCGGTTCGTACATTGCGAGTATGCTGGACGAGCGATCCTATCGGGAGGCAATTGCCAACCAGATCCGGGCGTGCCCCAATTGCACGAGGATCAGGAACATTCGGTACGCTTCGGAAAGGCGCAGGGCGGCCTTTGGTCCGGTCTCAAACAACAAGGTCAGCATGGAGCGCGTGGCACAGATGCACGCCTCCACGCTGCACAGAGATCCCAAGCCGGTGCGGCGTGCCGAAGAAGCACCAAACCTGCTTCCGCCGGGAAGACAGCACCCGATGGAGCGAAACAAGGTGGATCTCTCCACTACTCCAAAATCGCCTTCGGGATTTGATTCCATGTCTCCCAGCTTTCGTCGGCAACTACTGGGTTCCCCGATGACGTCTCAGATCCTGCTCCGCCAGAGCCATACGAGGCACGGCTCGATGGACCTTCGCAAGGACAACAATTTCGGCTCTGCGAGCCACTTGAAAGGCGGCCTGAATCGTTCCTTTCATGATTCCCCGAACTCCTCTGTTTCGCCGCAAAGCGGGCTGAGCGTTGGAGCCGGGCGTTTCCGAAACAACTCCGCGGACATTCACATTCCCGCCACCGTGAACGAAGGAGCACAATCCAATTACGGCACAAACAACACGGCGTCGCCGATGCCTCCAACGCCAGAACCGCCTCTAGAGGCAAAGGAAGACAACAATGGCAACACCAATCCGGAGGATCCACCACCTCCGTTATCTGAGATACCACTGAAAAACCACCAAGTCATGGAAAACGATGATTTGACCACCGAAGACAGCGACTCTTATGATTCTGATAGCCTGGATTCAGAATACGGCGTGAGAAGACGTCGCAAGAAATATGGTGCAAGAAGTGCAGACGCGGCATACGTAATTCGAACGTTGCGGGAAGCACTGGTCAATTCGATGGTAATCATTGCCTTTGGCTGCCTAGGATTTTATTTGATCGAGGGCCTCAGCATGATTGACAGCTGGTACTTTACGACCGTCTTGTTAACATCCACTGGATATGGTGACATTGCTCCCAAGTCGGATGGAGGAAAGCTTTTTGCCACCGTGTATCTACTTGTGGCCGGAACAATTCTCCTGAACAACATGTCCATGATCAGTATGATCCCGTTGGAACTTAGAAAGAGACGCACCGAGCAAGCTGTCCTGAGCCAGTTCGGAGATTCCCTTGACGACGATGCCCTTCGTGAGCTTGCCACGGGACCATTGGTCCAGCGCATCAATCTCGAACGCCAAGATCCGCGTGGATTAGACGAATGTACCCGGGAGATGTTTGCGCTGGCCATGATGATTCGCCTAGGAAAGGTAACGGAGCAAGACATCAACCAAACGTTCGCCGCCTTTCGCAAGCTGGACGTCAACAACGAGGGTGTGCTGAATAGCAAATCAATCATTGCGGGCATGATCCACAAACGTCGCCGCACTATGAACAAACACAACAACGGTAACGGACGAACGCGATACAGTGGTATGTCCCAGGGGTATGGCAGCTGGATGTATCCAGTTGCTCCTCCGTACGTCGATGGCAATCGCGGTGCCAACAGCACCAACAATGGTAACATCTATGTTTCCCATGCCGTTCCAAATTCCCAGGGTCATTCCGTGCACTATTCCGATCACACTCCTCTTTTGTCTTTGTCCGAAAGGGGCCCTCCTCTCCACAGCAACAGACGTCGATCTTCTACATCATATTCCATGGACGAATGAAGACGTTGTTTTCGCGGTCGACATAAATCGACAAGACATAATTTGATTCGGTTCATTTTTCATAAAATATAGAATACACTATAACAGCAACTACACTAGAATTGAAAAAAATTTGCACGCATATTTAGCGAAGAAGAAAGGCCTATACTGTAATGGGAAAGCGCATCACAACACTTGAGAATAGACAAATCGTTGCAATTGGAATGAGTGAAACACCAAGTGATTCTCCAACTTGCACTGTTTTACACCAAATCTTTATCTATACCGAGTTGACGGTGACTTTGTAAGAGAGTTTGGAGTTATCATCTGGAAGGTTGATAACAAGATCCCCGGTCAAGACTCCTCCAACCCCATTAGGTTCGCAAGTGATTTCCAAAGGTGTGGGGTCACCACTGCGTCGATCCAGTCGACCAGCAGAAGGCCCTACCGATAGCGAAGGATGGGATCCAGGCGCAAAGGCAGCGTAATAATCCTCAAACGTCATGCAGGGCGAACTGATCATGACCTGAAGGGATCCACCGCTTCCAGTAGAGGCAACCTGGAATTCGAAATTACCGTCGGGGACCGATGCCGGAACAAATTCCATGCCCTCTGGAATGTTGGGGTCGAGGGAGATTCCACCCGCAACAACAGCATCTGCTCCCAAGTTTTCGAGTCCGGGAAGCTGTGGTCCATCGCGACTTCCTGCGTTTCCAGATTGGGATCCCATCATTCCACTGGAGAAGGCAATTTCTTCCTCGGGATTATATCCCTCAGGGAAGTAATCACCGGTATCAGTTGACTACATTGTGTTTTATGTTATTTCAGTCCATTTCATTTCACCAATCGATAATTTCAAGAGTCATTGTCGGTAAGTGTAGGTGGAATAAAGCGAAGCCTTGGAGTCAGATACACATGGTCTAGAAAGATATGAAACACAAACAAATTGGGATCATCACAGCCATGATTGGCTTCATTCGGCACAGATCCACAGCAAATTGTCCAACACTATTTCTCCAGAAAATTATGTGAATGAATTTTTCAGTCTCTGGGTTCAACGTCGAATCCCAGACAATTACCTCCGAACTAATGATTGCACTCATTTCTTCGTATAACTCTTATACTCACACCCATCTTCTCGGAATCAGGTTTCCAAGAGTTTCCACTCAAATCCATGCCCGGAGTTCCCATTAGAAGCGCGGTCGACTTGACATTGTTCGATGTAGGTGCGAACGCAGAAGCCTTCGATGCCAGGGCAGTAATAGCGAGGACGTTGCTTGCAGTTTGGAATTTCATGACTTGATTCTTGTCTGTAACAATACGAAACTGGTCTTGTTTGTGTTGTGTTCCGTGTCACTGTTGGGCTCATCGAACATGGATCGAGAACGATTGCTGTACGGTATGAAAGAATGCTAGTCCCCCGTAATACCCGGTATCCTTACCGTCCGAGTTCGTTCGTACGGTACCCTGCGATACATACGTAATCGTACTCGTGAAGAAGATCGAGAAGACATACAACTAGCCTGACGTCATCGAAAATTGACCACTGCGACTGGATAACGACTACTACTAGTAGTACTCGTAGTACTGGACTACTTACTACCTCCGTTCCTAAATATTGTTGCAGTTTGCCATACTATGTTTTTTCCAAAATAATGGTGCAGTATTTACTTAAAAGATTTTGGAGTTTCAGGCCATTGAATTCTACAAATGACTGTGTATGACTGTGTAGACTGCAAGAACATGTAGAATCATAACTGAGGACTACTAAAAATGGTGTGCTGCATGCGCATGATGAATAAAAATTATTTCAATGATCTTTACACACGGAAATACACTGTATTAACACGGGGAACTAAATTTGCATTGACAATGGTAACAGGCACCACTTTTGAACAAGAATGACTCATACAAGAAAGTTCTCCATACTGAAGAGAATTACTCTCCTTGCAACCACCAACTACCACCAAAATACGAGCAAACATATCAAAACACATCAAAATGCTCCATCCACAAGCATTCATTCATACTCAGGTGATTTGTGTTTGCATTTATGGATACTCAAGGAGCTGGCATGTGGATGTTTCATTTGCATATACTCAAGGAGCTCACAAGGGACTGGCTTTCAGACAATTCAAAACTAAAGGAACTGCTGCTGGCCTGTAGACGATTTGTACTCAAGGGACAGCTGTGAGGACAATTTGATACTCAAGCTATTTTCGTTCTTGGAGACTCAAGTTATTTACATTGTTTGTGGAGACTCAAGTGTCTTGTGTCTCAAGCTATTCACATTGTTTGTGGAGACTATGATACCAATCTCCATATCAAGAGTTGTTATTTCAACCCCAACCCTAACCCCTATTCAAGGTGAGGTCCTATACCAAGAAGTCGCAAGGGGAGCAGTGGGCAAACTCAAGTGATTAGTGTTGTTTGTGGAGACTCAAGCTACTATTTGTGTTGTTTGCAGAGACGCAAGCTATTTGCCTTGTTTGCAGAGACTCCTCAAGTGATTTGCATTCTTTACAGAGACTTACTAAGCTATTTGCCAGCATTCATACTCAAGGGAACTGGTTTGCAAAGAACCATTCAACCCTAATTTGATTCACTGGATAATTTTGTAGTACTATTGAAAGTTTAAAACAGGTCTTCCAAAAAAAACAATAATCAACCAACAATTTACAAGATGATACTGATACAGAGTATGCTGTATTGAGCGCACAGTGATTCCCTGATACAAGTTGTTGATATGAGTTGCTAATACTACAGATGAGTAGTACACTGATACGGAGTATGCTGATATGATACAGAGGAGCTTCTGATATGGAGGAGTATGCTGATATAAGTTGCTGATACAGAGGAGTGCACTGATACAGATTATGGTGATACGGATTATGGTGATACAGAGTATGCTGATCCTACAGCTGCTGATACAGAGGAGTACACTGATACAGATTATGCTGATAAGGATTGTGCTGATATGGAGGACGCTGCTGAGCTTATACTACAGATTATGGAGGACACTGCTGATATGGAGTTTCATGCTAAAACAGAAGACACTGATACTAGTTTAGTTATATTCATTAAGGTCCATATAAATTTAATTACGAGATGGGACCGAAGCAGTATTAATCAGTTGACAATCTCAAAACATATCCCACGAAAAATATGCTTCCAGCAATAGCTCCACTGAGTCCCCAAAAGACCTTGAGCATGAATTGCTCGTCGTCTTGGTCGTACTTCTCGGCTTGCAAAACGATGCCGGACTGGCAGTTCCACCAAGAAATGCCCAAAAGAACAATTCCCAACATGCGATGTGTGTACTCCCAGACTCTTCGAGTGTACAACGCCTTCTTGCCAGCGACTTGACTGGATTCTTCCGCGTCGTCCGTGCTCTTCGGAGCAGCGGGTACGGGGCTGGGTCGAATGTAGCCAGCGAGTCCTTGAAAGAGAACCAAGATAAAGATGGCGAGACCGAGTTCGTGGTGAATGTCCTCCTTGAAATGGGGGAGGTCGTCGTCTTTCTTGGTCGCGACGATGGCCAGAATGAAACCGATGAAGGTGAACAACGCCACAAGAACACCGAGGTAAAAGTGAACCTTGAGCCAGTGGGCGTCTTGACTGAGAACAGACAAGTTCTTCTTCAAGTAGGCGGCGCCGATGGCAAGGGGAGCAAGAATGCCCCATGCCAATCCCATAAGGATACCGTGGGCGACCCACAATCCTCTGGTAGCCTCCGATGAGCTTTCGATGAATGAAATCTTTGCGAAGGTCTCGTTTCTGAAGGTCTCGTTTCTGAAGGTCTCGTTGTAGCCATCAAACGTGTAGGCTTCGTCCCCGTAGGGGTCTTCTTGATTGATGGCATAGTCGACGCCGTTTGCTTCAAAGGTGAGCTTTTCCGTGGGAGGAAGTGTTGGCATATTAGTAGGAATATTGGCGGGCATATCGGTTGGAGGGAGAGTCGGTGGATCGGTGTCCTTGACACAGCCCTTGAAAAGCTCCAAACCATCGAAGGCACCGTGGACCTTGTGCTTTCCTTCCCATGCGTTACCGGGCAGTCCGATGGCGAAGATCCACACGGAGGACAACGAAATCTCGTGGTAGACGACGCTGCTGCCTGGTTCCCGTACAACGAGGTCCTGGGTGAATTCTAGGATGGACTCGCTGTCGGTCTGGTGGAATTTCCCTGCTTTGAGGTGAGCGTTGACATCCTCCAGTGGAATCACTCCACTGGCCTTCTTGTCGTCGTTAATTAGACTGTAACGCTTGACTCCACGGCTGACGTCTCCAATCACGGCGTGTGCCGGCATCATGTCGCCCTTGCCCTCGGTGTTGACCCCGATGCCGACCCAGGCCTGTCCACCAGTGTAGCGAAGGCGCATGGTGAAGGTCCCTTCGTCTTCGTTAACGTAGTTTGATAGAAAGGTTGTCCCACCCTTGTGGATGGAGATTTCCTCGGAGAACTGACATGTGTACTGTGATTCAGCAACGCCCATAAAGAGGGATCCAGCAAGAAGAAGACGCATCAACATGTTAGGTTATTAGTAGAGACAAAAATACAAGTAAAATCGTTTTGTGAGCTACTGGTGTAGAAAATACACTTTTTCGCTGGACAAATAAGTACAGTACACGCAAATAGTACTGTATGTACGTAGTCGCAATGCAAAGATGAATTTTTCATTTTTGAGCATCAAGAAGATCAAGAAAAAAGGATTTTCAGTGGCTCGTTTTCATCGGATTTTCATGTGCACTTTCCAATCTTGTAACCAGGTTTCATGACCTTAAGTCTGACGGGTTCTTCGGAAGTTGCCAGATTTCAGAACTTTATGGCATTCCTTTTCAAAAGAATATACTACGCGTAAAATAACAATTGAACTTTCGTTAATTGAGGCATTGGGAAAGTTTCCGAATGTTACCAGCGTAGGCTTCGTAGAAATGAGTACTGTGGTTTTTGCTTCAATTTAACGTCCTGAATGCTTTGCTTAACAGTCTGAAATATTTGCGTAACAGTCTGAATATTAGGAGGGGAGGCGTCCTCTTCTTCCTCTTTTTAAGATCCCTTCTTCCTTTCTTATTCACGTGCAAGACTGAATGAAGAATGTGGATAATACTAGGATCTACGTAAGTCTACGTGAAAAAGTTAACATTCCGTACGTTAAATTAACATTCGGATTGTTAACACTAACATTCGGAACGTTAATTTTAACGTTCCCAATGCCTCAATTAACGAAAGTTCAATTGTTATTTTACGCGTATTATTAACATACCTGAACATTCATAATTGATATTTTTATAATTGCTTGAACACTTGAACACGTAGTCTATCAGTCTATCAATGAACAATTTTTTTTTAGATTTTTTTCTCGGTGGTTATGCATTTCGGTCGGAAGCTACGTCAGAGCTTTTCAATTGCTCTTCGGTTTACTTAAACGAAGTACTAGTATTTGCATCAAAACCAATCGTGCGAAAACAACAAATCATCGGAATTTTTCGAACTTCAGGTCTCCGTACTTGTACCGTACGTAACCGTAAAAGAGCTCTTGTTTCACCGCACCGGGTGCCACACTGAGAACTGAGAACAGTACTGTACGAGTTACTCGTAGCACTTTCACACGGTTACTCGTAGCACTTTTGACACGATTGCTTTCTGGTTTGAAACAGAATTCGATGATGCATCAAACACGAATCTAAAGTTGAGTTGGATTCTTTACTTCTTTGGAGCCAAACAGAACTTCTCTGGATCCGAACAGTGCACCAGGTATTTTAATATTGTGAGGATTAAGCTAGAAAGTAAAGAAAGGTAAATTTGAGAGACTATGTCGGGTTGGGTTTTCTGGATCTCCAACCCGGGACTTGATCTGAAACATCCAAGAGGGGTTGGCCTGCTTGGATTTAGTTTGGTCTCACGTGATCACCGGCAAGCTCCTCGTGACCCGTGCTCGTTGCATTATCCCCGACAGGAATATTACTATACGTATCCGTTACGTAATATTTCAACTGAGAGGATCCACTACCTTGTGGCATGCATAGCCGTGGCGAGGGTGTTGTCTATTAGCTGTTCTGCCTCATTGGTGTCTTTTGGAGGCGTTGAGTGTATCACTGCGCGGAGTATGTTGGCTATCGTCTGGTGTACTCGTTCACATATTGCATTGGCTTGAGGATTCTTTACTGTGGTTGTGACACTTTGAACAACATATTGTGCTAGTAGTTCAAGGAATTCCCAACCTAAGAACTCTCCTCTGTTATTGTGAATACATCGACTGGGTCTGGGATATCTTGCTAACCAGCCATTGGAGAATTGATCAGCAATATGTCGAGCGCTCTCCTTGTTGTTAATGCGTATGATCTCCAATAGGTTTGATACCGGGTCTATGCAAGTTAAAGCTCTGAAGGTTATGTCTGTGCCTTGTATGTTTATTTTCCATGGTCCGATAAGGTCTACACACACCTCGTTCCATGGAAGTAACTGAGCTTGGCAATGTGGTAGGTGGCCGTAACCTCGTCCCTGTTGCTTGTATAGATGACAGTTATCCGGATATCGATATTCTTTGCATAAGGTTGCTAATCCTGGGTAATGAAACCGGGCATTGATTGTGTCGTATAGTCTGGTTGCTCCACAATGTCCAAGTATTAGGTGATACCATCTGATTATTCTGTTTATGAGTGATTGTGGGATGAAGATCTTCCAATTGTGTGGGGAACTGCTGTTACAATGATAACAGATGATATCGTAATGGCCGATTGTTTGCTTGGAGTACAGGTTTGGAGCCTTATTTAGATGGAGCTGGCAGCTGACGTCTCTTGTCTGATGGTCTGATATGGTGGATAAGGCAAGGGGATTATCCATTTCTGTTATTGGTGGTAGATTCAGGAGACACTCAACAACTTCAATGTCGACGCTGTTCATGAATACATCCTCTTGGTCAACAGGGACAGTCAGCTGTTTGAAATCAACAAGAGTTCCCTTGTTTTGTTCATACATTTTTCTTTCTTTATCCCCGACCGTGGGCTTTGCCATGCGAGGGACACAGGAAAAGCAGTCCGCAAGGGCATTATCCTTGCCCTCTATATATTTGAAGGTGAGGTCAAAGTCTTCGATGGCTAATCACCATTGTATGACTCTTGGTAATGAGAGGGTTCGAAAGGTGAGGTTCTTATGATCAGTATAGATCCTGAGCTTGCCTCCGCACAGCATATTGCGGTATTCTTTGAGGCAAAGGATAATAGCTAGGAGCTCTTTCTCCATAGTACAGTAATTTTTCTGTGTTTTGTCAAGTTTCTTGAACCAATAAGCGATGGGTCGGCCCCGTTGCAAGATAGCTGCTCCCAGTTGGTAATCAGAAGCATCTGTGAATATGTCAAACGGTATGATGAGGTCTGGATAGACATTTATAGCATCATGCACTAAGAGTACTTTCATTTCCTTAAATGCCTGATCGCATGCGGGGGACCACACAAATGGGCCAGAGCCTGTAAGGGCTGTCAAAGGGGCCAAGACATGAGAACGGCGTGGCCACATGGATTTGTAATAGTTAACTGCACTGAGGAAGGATCTAACTTGAGATTGATTCCGTGGGGGTCCCATGCGGAGGACTCCCTCAACCTTTTTCTTCCTCGGGCGGACACCACTAGGTGTCATCCAATCCGCTAGCCGTTCCAAAATGCTGTCAACCAGTGTGAGGTGGACAGTGAAAGGGCCGTTGGTCCAGATGCCCATGTCATCTATATAAACTTCAACGTCTAAGCTGCATAAGATCTTGGTGATAAACGCTTGAGCATAGTCTGGGGCTGACTTAAGGCCCATGGGGAGCCGCAGGCACTTGAAGTTGCCTATCTCGGTAGTAAGAGTGCATATGTTTTGGCTCTCTTCATCAAGTTCAAAGCAGTAAAACATCATGGAGAGATCAATCCAGAACTTCTCCCACCAGTATGGCAGGTGTGATAATTTTTTGAGTATGGAACGATGTACAGTATAATACGATACAGCCGCAAGTACCTACGTTTAACGTGACCTAGCTGGGCCTTCTGGGACAGAGATTTATGGTACAGTACGGTAAGTATTATACATACGTTACTGGTTTAGGTACAGTGTTACAGTACCGTATTTTTTATTTTTTCTCTTTACTGCATTACTTATTACTTCTACTTCATCTTGCGTCAAGTACCGTACCGTACTTTTCATCCCAAGAATGAAACTGTACCGTACTATGGTCAGGGGTCATAATTTATGACCCCTTACTACGGTACGGTACGACCGAGTGAGTCCTATGATTAAAGTGTGTCCTTTCACTTCTTGTCCGAGTCCAATTATCATAGGTTATGTACGTACTATGAAGTAGTCTATGTAAGTACCGTACCATTTATTCATGGCGCTCCAAAAATATTGTTGACTCAATGGAATTCGAGGACTGAATTTGGGATCCAACATTGGTAAGGGTAATGTTGGAAATCATTAAGGTTAAACTTGTACCAAAAGATTGGGTGATTCCCGATATTATAGAAATGCTAAACTGCATATTTAGCATTTTTATAATAACAGGAATACAAATTTCAAGGGACAGACCCCAGAGCATGCCAACTCCATGCCAGTCTTTTTGGGAATTTGGAATCTTAATTATTCTCCAACGTAAAGACTTAATGACTGAAACGCGCGCCATGGTACTAAGTAAAACATGAAATTTTCAATACTCATCAAAGTGCCAGGTAGCATATATCAAGCCACTCATGTTCTACTCATTTTGTACTTTACCAGTAGCACATGAGCGGCTTGATGTAGGCCGACAAACACAGGAGTACAGTAAAACATGCTTAAATCAATGCACTCATTTTCTACTTTTTCAGTAGAAAATGAGTGGATTAATTTAGGCAACCATCCAAAAACACACTAAAAGACAACAGTTTCCTCCCAGCACAACAAAAGGCAACACCGACAATCATGGGTGTTGTGGAGATCATTACAATGTACTGGTACCTCCAGTTGCCACAGTAGTTACAAAAGCAAACTGTCTTCTGAAGAGAGACATCATAGGGATAGGAGAACTCCAAGGATTGCAATCCATAGGTATGCTGATTCCCCTTTCATCTACATGTTCCACTCAGGGAATGACCAAGCTCTCCTCAACTGCTGTGGACTTGACCACAAGGTCTACAGGGAGCTTGTGGACCTTTTTGCTCCAGTATGGAACAAGTTTACTGTGGACGCCGACAACAAGACAGTGGAAGTTCCTTGTTATCCCAGTGGCAAGCCCAAGGGGAAAAAGAGGGAGGTGGATGCTGTCTGTGCTATTGGACT